ATGCTAAATTAGACTAAACTCTGTCCCTGGGCCCGCATAACATTACGTTCCTAATGGGCTATGAAATTTCACGGCTGGACATTGCTGAGGTCCAGCTACTGGATAATTTCACATTGCAGTCCTGGACCAAATTCCTCAATCACCGTACAGTCCTGGGCCCAATTTCACATTAGGAATATGGGTAATTAATTTACAATATAAATTTAGGTTTTCGCGTTAGGTAGCGGGTTCAAACTAAGAGGGTCTACCTTTGTTTGAATCCGGACTTGGACTCGAGGCCCGAATTTATAAATGCAAATTAATTAGACCCTTTTTAGAGACAAAAGAAGTAGAAGATCCTAGTCGCTCTAGGTTGGCCTTAAAATAATTAAACGAGACGAGCCTCGCCGCACAAAACATATAAATTGCGGGGCCCTCATTACATGCTTTATTAAAAATATTTTAGAGATTCGGGAGATGCCATTTAGCGAATTTTCATGGCTTCCCGCAAAGTTAATAAGACGCTAGCCGCTTTAGGCGCGCTTTTAAATAGTTTTACCTTCCTAAACTCGGGTGTGCACTTCATGTGACCCAAATTCAAATCCTAAAACGTTGAATAAGAGGTGTTGAGGATCCGGGTGCATTTCATGTGACGTGATCCAAAAACACGCTCTTAAACGGCGTTCACTTTCGTAAAAAGTAAATAAAAGCGGTAAATAATTTATAAAATTGCACTATAGGTTTGAACTTGTATAAAAACCAGATTTTTAGCCATTTATGATAATTTAAGCGACCGTGCTAGAACCACGGGATCCGGGGGTGCCTAACACCTTCCCTCGGGTCAACAGAATTCCTTACACAGAATTTCTGGTTCGCAGACTCCAATTGGGAAGTCGAAATTTTTCCTCGATTTGGGATTTAAATTAAACTGGTGACTCGGGACACCAAAAGCCCATCCTTTCCCGAGTGGCGACTCTGAAAAATAACTAAATAATCCCATTTCGAATAATGTCACTTTAAATGGAAAAACTCCCTTATACATTTATTCTTCGGGGTAGGTGTGTAAAAAGGAGGTGTGACAAGTACTGCTGTGGTGAACTCATGCCCCTTCTGCGCATGTTTTTCATGTGCAGATCCAGGTACCTCCACTCAGGCGTACTATCCTCGAGGCGGAGAGATCTAGCGAGACTTTGAGGTATATCTGTCGCGTCCGCAGACCAGGAGTCTCTATTCTATTCCAGCTTTAGTAGTTAGTCGCGAGACTTTGAGGTATATCTGTCGCGTCCGCAGACCAGGAGTCTCTATTCTATTCCAGCTTTAGTAGTTAGTTTATCCTTTCTTTCAGTTGTTTAGACATTCTGGAGTTAGAGTAGCGTATTACATTTCTATTAGCCTGTGTTTCCCGTGGGTTTCCGGGTTTTGGGGTGATATTGTAGACTTCCGCGTTTGAGTTGTATATGCCAAGTGGCACTTATATACAGTTTTCCTTCTATTTTTGCTTAGTTTAATTAATTATTCCCACAAGTTATGTTATTTTCGCATTGTTAGGCTTACCTAGTCGTAGGGACTAGGTGCCATCACGACATGTTCACGGAGGGCGAACTGGGGTCGTGACACAAGTGATTAGGCAACTCCTCGGGCATGACATCTTTGTTTTCCTAAAGCAACTTCTCTATGCAAGGCGGCAATGTCTCTTGAAAACTCTTGTCTTCCTCTAGACTTGCAATGGTTGCCACGAACGTTGGCTCCCCCTTCTTGATCCCCTTGACAACCTGCATAGCTGAGATATGTGCTTGGATCTGTCCGTGTGGCATAGTCATTGTAGGTACCATGCAAGCTCCTTCTCGCTCCATAACCAAGAGACGTTGGAGGTAGGGGTCGATCAAACTATGACAGTGTCTAAAGAACTCTTGCCTCAGTATGATGTCAATGATATCCATAGCGGTTACGGTAAAGTTTGTCATACCTTTCCAAGCTCCCAATTTGACACCTACTCCATTAGCTACCCCACGAGCATTTTGTACCTCGGCATTCACGGTCTTGACGCGAGAGTTGCTTGGAGCAAACTTCAATTCTAGTCTCTTTGCGGCAGCCTCAGTCACGAAATTGTGAGTTGCTCCAGTATCTACCATTGCACGAGCGGGCTTGTTGTTGATGGTGAGATCAACGTACTGATTGCCATTCTCGGTAGGTTGGATAGCTTGCTTTGTGACAGCACCACATAATCCGATCATACCCAACTATGCGGTTCCCGAACTCTCTCCTTGTGGCTGCTCCTTTCGTTCACGGACTATGGCGCTGAGGCTCTTTAGGTCGGGACAATTCCTGAAGTCGTGCGGCCCTCCGCATATGTAGCATCCCTTCTTCTCGGCCTGTGCCTTCTTCTCAGTGTAGCCATGACGACCACTCGACTTTTTGGAATCTTGAGTCTTGGGGTATTGCTGATGTATCTCCTTGCCTTTGCCACGATCTCCCCCACCTTTGGCATTGTTAACCTTTGACTCCTTTCCATTGCCTTTGTCGTGCTTGTCATGCCTGAAATCCATCAATGATTCGGCCTCCACTATGGCTTAGTCTATATCAGTGACTTGTCGGTATTGCAACTCCTGTTTAGCCCAATTTTGCAACCCGTCCATGAAGTGGAACAACAAGTCATCATTGGTTAGGTTGGGAATTTGAAGCATAAGGGTAGTGAACTCCTTGACATAGTTACGTATGCTCCCTGTTTGCTTCAATTCCCTAAGCTTGCGCCTTTCCTCGTACAAGACATTATTTGGAAAGAACTGTCGCTTGAACTCGGCTTTGAACTGATCCCATGTGCTAATAGTACATAGACCTTTATCCACATCCTCCATCTTCCTTCTCCACCAAAGCATGGCAATCTCTGAGAGGTAGAATACCGCAGTGTTGATCTTGGCCTCGTCGTCCCTCACTTTGCCGTGTCTGAAGTAGTTCTCCAAGTGCCAAAGGAAGTTTTCCACTTCGTGTGCATCACGAACACCTTTGAACACCGAGGGTTTGGGAGCCTCGATCTTGGCCTCTCTCGTCACCATAATATTGCTGGCTGCCTCGGTCACGCCAGCATTGACATGCTCCTCGAGTGAATCTATCTTTGCCTTCATAGCATCGATAGTACTCAAAGCCTCCATGAGTCTGCACTCTAAGGCAGTGATGGTTTGCCTTAGTTCCATCTCGGTCTGTGTACGTCCCTCCAAGTCATTTCAGATACTCCCAATCTCTTCAAGAGTGTGCCCCTCAAGAACGCTAAGGGTGCCTTCCACCTTCCCCAAGCGTTGGCCAAAGATCTCTACAGCGTCCATCCCCGCGTTCATCTTTATTACCCACTCTTTACCGAGCGAGACGTCCTCGGGCAAGACCTTCACTTCATCCTTGCTTGCCTCAGTGGCAGATGGTTCTTGGGATGTAAGTCCTTCGTTTGACACAACCTCGGGTGGCACCTCCTGTCTCTTGTTGGTGGCATTCCTCTTTTTGCCACGACCGCTCTTGCCAACAGCATCCTGGATGACGTTGGCTTGGGTGTTGGTAGCGTTAATTTCTCCGTCGTTTGTCATTCCCTTAGTTAAAACCTTCGCTCTGATACCACGATGTCACGTCCTTAGTTTTTAACTAAGTATACATGTGGCACTTGACAACTTGCTCAAGATCTTGCACAGCTTGCTCATGTTTTTGCTATGCCAAGTCAGCCTTACTACACTCAAGATCGCTAAGAGAATGGTAGAAAGAACACAATAGAATTGTTAAAGAAAGTTTGTATTAGAGAGAACTTGAATTGTTTTGCTTGATATTACAAATGAATTGCCCCCTTTATATACTAGTCTCCTAGGGGCTAGTGTGTAAATATTAATTATTATACAAGTCCTTGATATTTACAAGATAAGGGCTTAGAATTCTCTACAAGCCTAGAAGATTCCAAAAATTTTCCTAGCAAATCTATAAGGGTCTATGTTCTTCCTAAGGAAATATCTATACTTCTCTAGAATCTTCTCACAAATATTGGCCTTCTTCTTATGCAAGCTTCCACATGACATTAATATATGCCAAATGACACCTACGTGACATGATTGACATGGTGGGTCATCACACCCCTAGTCCAAATTACCTATTCACCATGTTTGAAAAGGCTCATGCGTAGGACCTACCATCATCATAAAAATAGGCCATAGACACCAACGTCCAGCGTGTCCCCCATTTTGTTGCTTTTATTAATGTCGTATTCCCTTAATTAATTTCCTTTACATTTTTCTGTTTTAGTTCTTTTTTCGTATTTTTATCTTAGCTTTTTTCACCTTTTTCTCGATGTACTCTAACTCAATTAAATAGGGGTAACGTCTATTAGACTGTTTGATCAAGCATTTTCAATCTCAAAAGCACTTATTTTTAAAATAAATTTTAAAAGCACTTTTTTTAAAAACAAATTTATTTTTTTAAAGTTCACTTTGGCGAAACTTTTGAAAGAAAATTTCTTTTTGATGAAAAGCAGAAAATTTTAGAAAACCGAAAAAAATTAGCTTATTTCCTTGTACTCCTGACGGTTCATTCTTCTCAGACTCACTTGTGACAGTTGTGAGATTATATTTTACCGTTTTACTATTATTTTCATTTTTATCAAAAGATTTTTTTGGAGTTTATTTCATGATCTTTTTACTTGTCCAGTTAGTTCCAAATCACTTGAATGAATTTAACATCCATCTTCCATCTCCCCTCCATAGATTCCAAGTCAAGGTAAAAGTTACCAAACCTGAATATGAAACCCAAACCTGAAACAGACACCAAAGAAAAACATTAACAAATTCAACTAGTTGTAAAAATGAAAAGATAATGGAAAATATACGTAGAAAAAAAATTAAAAATCAATATTACCTTGGACGAAAGATGATGAACAGATGCTAAAGCACGACGAACGCAGATACGGCGAACGAACGGGAAACGCCAAAGTATAATGGAACAATGAACGCCAAACACGACGGGAAACACAAAAGCTGCGAACGAACACAAAAAGCGAAACAAGTCACGCAACTCCACTAAACAACAAAAGAGCCCACACAAATTTCTCAACCATATCCAATGCCTTATGATGTTTTACAGTTTTTAGTTAAAATTTAATCAAATTTAATTTCCTGGTTATTTTTATAGAATTTAAAAGTCCAAATTGTCGTTCAATTGCATCAGTTACTGCAAATCCATATGTACAAGGGAGAATTCTACTACTTCCGTACTGTATCAAAATTGCCATAGCTTTCGTTTCGTCGGAGTAGTAAAAACAGCAGCTGGAATCTGACGCCATCGCCGGAAAACTCTCAGGAGATGAGCTTCAGATAATATATGAAAATCACCAACCTGTAACCACGGAAACGGAAACTTTTTCATAGGTTATACTTTGGACATTCTGGAAAGCCGGCTAGGACGCGGTTGAAAGTCACCTCGACGTCTCTGATGATGCGAAGAAGGCCTAATAAGAGCTGCCAGAGCACGGTTTACTAAATCACCTTCAACAGACCAGATTCGTACCAGTGAGTTCGTCATCGCCGATCGCCGAGCATTCAATCGGCTAGGCGAATACGAAATAGAAGGAGTATTTCTCATATTCTTATGCATACTACACCTGAACGAACCAGGATGCGTCGTCGGAGAGCACAAGCACGTCCTTTTCGGAATCTGCTTCCGAACCACCTGCTCACGCTGAGACACTGCCACGGAACGGCGAGGAGAGCTAGATCTGTCGATGGAGAACTTAACGCTAGGCGTAGAATTCATCGGCGCCAGCGCGTGCAGATTCACGCGCGTCGGAGAAGCCGATCGGTTGAAACAACCAGGCGATGGATACGAATAAAAGCTAGAGGTCCTGTACGAAGCGAACGACGTCGCATCAGTTGCCGCCATGGTGTTGCAGAACCGGCCGGTGGGTGAGATTGACCTCTCAAACGCCGATCTCAACCTTCTAGAGGAATTCGCCATTGCAATTGGAGAGCTATAAAAACAATTTATGTATGTATTTATTGATTTTTTTTTTTCTTTTTAAAAGTGCCCTAAGGCTTTTCAGTTGGGCAAACTTAGCGAGTCTCGAAGCGTCAATTTATAGCAGGGAGAAGAGGATGGGCGAATTGTAGATAAGTGGAAGGTTTAAGGTTTAGTTAGGAAAACGAAGTCTCGTTAAAGTAACCATGGTAAAGAGTTAACCCGGGGGTGGAGGTTGAATATGAGATTTTCAATGGACAGCGACTGGTAGAGCAAAATGATAATAATTGGAGCCGTTTTGGCTGACTGCTTATGTTACATAAGTGTGGAGCAAAATGATTAATAAGTTTAAGTTATGTAGAAGAGGATAAGGCACAATACCACCCGTACATAGATTTTTTTATTTTTTTAAGGATTTTTTAGCTTCCTATACCATATATAAAACCTTATTATCCTCAATGTTTAAGGTTTGAATTAATTACATTTCAGTATACCAAATTACCATTTATATACCATAATTTAAATCAGGGATATAATTTAGGGTGTATTTATATTAGACATAATTATAGGACCCTGATTCTAAAGACCGAAAAATTAGGCAAATTGCTATTCGCACGCCCCACCCCTATTTCTAAAGACCGAAAAATCGGACATTTGAAAACCCTAGACCTAAAGAGTGACCTGTTTCAATTTCTTTGCAATTGACGGACAGAGGAGTATTTTGTTTGTATCCAATTTCAATGGCAACACTATATGTCCACGGTGACAGTGGTAAGAAGCATTTGTGGTATTGTATTGATACAGAAAAATTAAATTGCATTTCGGATGGACTTTCTCCGGTTGCTCAAATGGAGTTGGAAGCCGGAGGAGGCATATTTCCAGTTGGAAACTCGAAGAAGAAGACGACATATTTTCAGAATTTGTAGATAAATTGTAGAAAAATTAGAAAAATTGTAGATAAATTGTAGACTGTTTTTTGCAGAAGATTTTGTAGAAGCTTTAGTCGTTTTGGATTTGTGAAAACAGAAAACAATGCATCTACAATCAGAATACATATAATCTACAATTTATCTACAAGATATCTACAAACTTGATACATTGAATTTTAATATCCCAATTCTCATTTCAATTGTAGCATAATTGGCATTTTCGACATAATTGTAGAAGATTTGTAGAAGTTTTAGTCTTCCCAATCTACAATTTATCTACAATTTATCTACAATTCTACAATTTATCTACAATTTATCTACAATTTATGGAAATATGTCTTCTTCTTCTTCGAGTTTCAATCTGAAATTCAGTCAAAACCAAGTCTAATCTTCACCAAAACCCCTCAAAATTGAGATATAAACTCCTAAACATATTCCAAATTATTTACAACAACACCCAATCCAAACAAATAATGATTTTTGAAAACCCAAATTTGAATTCAAAGCTTTCAAGCTTTTTAATGGCTATCAATGGTGGAAAATATATGGAAGAACAGATTTTTTCAACTTTGAGTTGTTGAAACTCGAAAATTTGAATTGTTCGTTCTTTTTGTCTTTTTCGAGAATTTGAATTGTAGTTGGAGAAAAATACGCAGATGAGAAATCTCCCTTTCCTTTTTAAAAATTGAATTTAATGTAGAATCAATTAACACCAAGATTCTCTCCTTAATTTTAGCGCGTTTTTTAGGGAATATTCTGCCCTTTTAATGCCTAATAGTCGAATGGTATATAAATTGTAGTTAAAGTGTGGACTGAGCGGGTAATTAAGAAACTATGCACATTTAGGGTAATAAGGTTTCATATATGGTATAGTTAGGAAAAAATCCCATTTTTTAAACCCCTTTGTCTCATTTGTTTGCACTTAATAGAGATTTAAATCTTAATCATTTTAATTATTCAGATCTCAGACATTAAGTATATTTATTTTTAAAGTTTAAATCTTAATCATTAAATGTATTTATTTTTTACTTCACAACACGTAATGAGTCTGAATAGGTTTGTATGATTTAGATCCATAACAGAGACTTAATTTCATTAAGATGCTATCATCCATATCCATTATTAATTGTCGTCACCGCCTACCATTATCAACTACCACCATGTCACCACCACCATACTCAACCATCACCATCATCCTTAATCATAGCCGCCACCATAATCGGCTACCGCCACCTACCATCCGCACCACTCCCACCATCATTATTCTCAAACACAAACAATACTCATTCACTTAAACTACCACAACTGGCCACCACATCACTATCAACAACCATAACCGGCACTGCACATCATTATTAACTATCACCACTCACCACCACCTTCCTCAATCACAACTACCACCACCACCTACCATTATTAACCATCAACACTCACTACCACCATCCTCAATCATAATCGTCACCACTAGCTACTACTCTGAACCATAACCATCAACCAAACCTACCAACAACAACCGCCTCTAGTCGGAATTCACAAGCACCAATGTTAGCCATCACCCCAGCAACTGCCATATTTTAAAAAAATTATACATTTTATTGATGGAATATTAGATTAATTAGTACTCCCTCCGTTTCAAATTAGATAAGGTATTTTCTTTTTTAGTTTGTATAAATGACATGTTTCTAAATGTGGAAATAATTCAACTTTAAACTCTTCATTTTACCCATTTACTCTTAATGAGAAACTTTTCTAACTACAAAATATCATGACCCCATAAACTTTTTACCCCATAAACTTTTAAGACCATAAGTTTCAAAAGGCTTTCTTTTTTTAAAAAAAAAATTCATGCCGAGTCAAACTACCTCGTCTAATTTGAAACGGATGGAGTATTTCATTTGAATTTTATGTTTATTAATTTTCAAATAAAGTTTTTACCCCATAAAATTTTAAGACCATAAGTTTCAAAAGGCTTTCTTTTTTTTTTTAAAATTTCATGCCGAGTCAAACTACCTCGTCTAATTTGAAACGGATGGAGTATTTCATTTGAATTATGTTTATTAATTTTCAAATAAATATAAATTTTCTATATTCAGATGCTAAAAATCAAACAGTCTTAATCATTTAGTATTTAGATCTTAATACACATCTTAATATTCATATGTGTATTTAGATTCGGATGTCTTAATCTTAATACACATCTTGATATTCAGATATGTATTCAGATCCAGACGTCTTAATCTTTAAAAAAATGAGGCCTTAGAAGGTTCTATAGTGTTTTCGAACTTTCCCTCCAGCCAGACTCGAACCCAAGACCTAACGGTCGTGAGTTGAGGTGCTTTTACCAACCGAGCAAGTCTCACTTGTCAGGTACATAGAGTTCAACAATAACAAACTCAATGTAAGTGTAATCTCGTAAGTGAGGTATGAAAAAGATAGTATTTATGCATATTTTATTTTTACCTTGTGAAGTAAAAAGGTTCAGTACACTCTCGATTCAAGGAAAGCATAAACTCATCAATAATAAAAAAGAAATATAGTTGTAAAGAAATCATGGGAAAAGAAAAAGTAACAAAAGCAAGATATTAAGAAAATCGAAACAAAAGAAATACTCCCTCCGGTACACTTTAAGTAATTTTTTATCTTTTTTTTGTGGTTCACAATATTTAATTTTTTAGATATCAAAAAGAAATTAACTTCTTCTTTCAAGAGTTGCCCTTGGACTAAAGAGCCTAGGAGTAGTTTGTTATATTTTCAATAAAAAAATTAAGGTTAATATGATCAATTTTATTATTAATTAACACTAAAAAGTAAATTTCTTAATATTTATAAAAAGAGCCAAAAAAATTATTTAAAGTGAACCGAAAAGAATAATATGAAATTAAAAAAATATAAAAATAAAAATATACGAGAATAATACTATTATTGCTTAACTGAAAAGAGTGACAACCGCAAGATAATGGAAAAGAAGGTACATAGATGAGAGTTGAACGGTAATAATCCTCTCCCGTTGATCTTAAACTTGAGTTATTTTAATAGACTCTCTTGGGTAGGGGTGTTTATTAAAATTCGAAAAATCGAACTAAACCGAAAACCATACCAAATCGATCAAAAAAATCGATACTTTTTGGTTTGGTTTGGTTTTGATTTTGAATTTTAAAAACCGACCAAATTTGGTTTGGTTTTAGTTTTAGTAGAAAAAAAAACCGAACCAAACCGACTATAGGAGTAGCTATTTCAAATTTATTATTACACCTATACGTATGCATATTTGTATGCAAAGTTTCAAAAAATTTATGGTAAATATTAATAGTTTGCACGTTTAATATAGTTCTTTACTTTTACATTCTAGTTTGATTGGTAGTTTTCTTTTGTTTAGTGTAAGAATCCATTTTGTGTTAAAAATAATATATTTTTAATTGAGTCCTTAAATTATCCATCACCATTTGATTCAATTATCACCAATATATCTTGGTAAATAATAGATTTCTCAAAGGGCAATTGATTTGATAGTGTTACATTGAAAATGTGGTCGCCGGAATATGTGTTTTGGTAGTGTATGTCTTATATTTAAGAAAAAACCGAAAAATAATCGAAAAAATCGAAAAACCGACATAAATCGAATCGAGAAAAACCGACTTAATTGGTTTGGTTTGGTTCTAATATTTAAAAAACCGACTTACTTGATTTGGTTGCTTTTTAGGAAAAAATCGATCCAAACCGAACCATGAACTCCCCTGCTCTTGGGATAAGAACTAATTTACCTTTATATTGCTCCTTTAAAATAAAATCTAAATTAGTTACCATTTTCATCAGAATTAAAAAAAATTAAAGCTAGCCGCGGCTATTTTCCACCTTATCTGGGGTAATGTGAGTAAGTTCACACAAATAAAGTTATTTTAATTTCAATTTAACTTTTTTTTAATAAAAGATGATGATTACATGAATTGAGCTTGCTTAAATGATTCATAGTTGAACCAACTTGGTTAAGACTTAAGTATAATTGTTATAGTTGTTATTTATTTCACTTTGTTAGAATCCCTTTTTAATGTCATTGCTTAACGATCAAAATTTTATGCAGTTAACCGAAGAAGAAATGTTACCCTCATTAAGTTTTTCCTTAGTAACAAAAAATTATCCCCTAAAATTTTAATTACTGACCAATGTCTAATAATTTCATA